TTAAAGAAAAGTTCGCATGCACTCCGTTCTTTTCGAAAATTATCATGAAATGTTTCAAAAATATGTTTACCAATAAAAAATACTTATTTACTTTTTGAAAGTCTACAAAGGATTCAGAAATGCATTACTTCCAACCAGAGATGTAATATGTTGCAATATAGCAGTTTAAGAATTGTGCGATATATACATACACAGGCAGCATAGTTGTTTACGTTACCCCTTGTCCCACTTTTAAATCTTAACCAATACAAATAAATATTATCTCGGCATATAGGTACTGGTATCGCCTCTAAAGAGTGATATTGTAATGCCTGCATTCGTCGATGAAATTAGGCAAAGCAAATAACACTAAAGTCGAGGCGATTGCAACAGATATACATAACTTACTAACCAAACACCATTAAAATTTGCCCGCTAACATTGTATAAACAGTTAAAGAGTTATTAAACTGGATTCAAAAGTATCGGAGCCATGATTTACATCGAAAATATGTTTACGGCCGTCATGTCCGACTGTAATAGAATTCGGCCGAAATGTCCACAACTGTAATAATTGCCTTTGCACGGTTAATTATGGGCTCGAATGATTAACGGCACGTGTCAATTCGATCCCACCCGGATCTGAGTATTTCGAAATTTATTGGTCTAAAAAGTTTGAATTCGTTGCTGCAAGACAAGTTTTTGACTACGTTTCAACGCATAGAAAAGATCTGCGAAGTTCTAAAAAAAAAACGGAAATGAAAATAAAATCCTGGAACGAATAGTATCTTATGCAATAATTGTTCTTTCACTGACTGCATGTAGAATCATCAGAACTGACGCCAAAATATCATCAGTGTTTCAAATATCTACCAAAAACATTCGATATCCACAGATGTTGTTGCATTTTAATCTTTGTGTATACCGCAAATTTAAACATAATCGGCGTGATATGTCCAATAAAAGAAATTTTTTCTAAAATACCCTTGCACTGATCAAGAGTGAGCAAATGTGACATTCAGCTTGAATGTCACGGGTTCTGGAGTTTCCGGATGTTTTCGATAGATTTTAGCCACTGATGGTATTTTGTCGTTTGTAGATTATGATCGCAAGAATGCTTGCAAGAATGCTTAGCGCAATTTGGGTAAGTTGCAAAAATGAGAAACGTTTTTGAAAATATTATTAAATTGAACTAACCAAAACTAAGTTTCAAAAAAATTGTAGCTATCACGTTCTACTAGGATTACTGTTACTGCTACTTTAAACTATAAGTTACTCTTCCGGTCAATTTAGCATTTGGTTGCATATAAAAAAGCTAACATTAGAAAACAAAAAAAATATATATTTTGACTGGTGAATCTGAAAAAGACAAAAATACAGCAGCTGACTTTTTTTTTCGTCAAATTTTAGGGGACTAGTAATTTGAATCTATTCATACGGATTTTTTTTAGACTTTTAACACCAGGCACTTTAGGAAAAATGTGCATATGAACTTTATGAAACATGTCAAGTGTTCAATTTACAACAGCGGACCCGACGACAAGGACCGTTATTTTGTTATCTAATTAATAGCGTCTGGTTTGTGCATCCATATATTTTGTAACCTTTTTAACACTTTATGGTCCGAGATTCTCTTTAGTTTCATTTTGTTTTCGATTGATATGTTATGCTTTTCATGATTTTTGATAGCAGATACTTTTGGGGGAAGGGCATTTTTCGTATCCCGACATTATTGCTTGGGTCCTTCATCAGGACGCAAGTCCTGAAATTTTCTTTACTGTTGAAAATTTGGTTTTACGCGAAAATCTGTGTTATCTATATTACAGACACATGGTGGTAGGAGTTAGTGGTTTTTGAAGTCTACCCCTGTGGGTGGACTTTTTGAACACACCAAATTGTTAAATGTATCAAATTAATGTCCGTCTTCTTCAATACACGGTATGACTTTGTCCCACGTCTAGCTCCCCATACTGCTCCAGTGTCTTACATTTTTAAGGACGACGATGACAAAATCTCGCGAATAACCCTTCCCCTTTCCGCCCGTTTCTCCGATCACCATATACCCTCCGCTTTATTTATTATCCGAATATCGATAATTCGGCATCTCGCAGCTGCACCCTCGGGAGCGAAATTACGCAACGGACGTTGCTCATCGCTGGTTCCCGGGATCGATGCCGGGAGCGTCACGTGACCTTCGTTGAACTCCGCTGACCCCGAGGATCAACGTACCAAGCCGGTGTCCACGAAACTTGCGGGGCCGCACCAAGCGCGCCGTTTTTTTCCACCCTTCTTGATAATCGGATCGAACAAAAGTTTATTAATGCTAATGTTATTTAATGCTTTTCAATCCAGGAGGCCCAGTCAACCAAGAACATTTGCCCATTGACCGCGGTTTTTACGCAGGTTATAAGTATAGAACTTATAAACGAACGTGGATGACTCCAGCTTATTTAATAAACAACATACCTTTTTCTATCTATCTCGGTTTATAATAAGACGTTTCCAAAAGCTTCAGCGGGATGAGATTCAAATTTTATTCGTTACAGGGTTGCCAGGTTGAAATAACAATAATAGATACGATGATATTTTACCTTTACTTATTTTTATTTTAAACGATATTGAATGTGCACAAATTTTATCAGGTAATAGTTTGGCCATAAACTAATCCAATTAGTATTAATTGTTTGTATCAAACGCCGGTTTCCCAAGAAAATTCAGCAGATTGAGTTAGTTATGATCAATTTATATGATCTAGGGTTAGAAGCTGCACGGGGACTGATGTTTGACCCATTGCAATTTTGCTTTGATTTTGGAATTATGTCCAAAATTTTTCTAACGACACCAGTCAAACTGCCGAGAAGTGTTTCTCGATCACTTTTAAACGTTTTCTTCCACATGTGGTTGAGTGAGAGTATCCATTGCGAGCTCAGTCAATTTGGTAATAAAAGACTTTTTTATTATTATATCAGAGAAATGTACCTATACTTTGACATTGATGGGGGTTAATTTGAGTGGATAGAATGTCGTTTTTCAAATAGAATTGTATATTGCAATTTGATTTCTATTTATACGCGTATCCACCTATCCACAGATAGAGGAGAACCGGTCACGTTCGTTGCGTCCTGTGCTAGTTAAATTTTTGATTATGTCAGGTTAGAATTAGCATAGAATGAACAGTTTATCCGTGGTATATGGTGCATGCATTTTAAGCCAACATCGGTGGTTTGCATTTGACAATGTTTTGGTTAAATTATCGATTATTTTGGGTCTTCCAGCTGTTTTCATAAACTTTTCAGACTCATTTCAGAAGTATTTGGATGAACCGTTTCTTAGCGTCCAGGTTCATATGCTTCTGGCATATTGGGTCATATGGTTGCAGGGATTCAGTTATAGGAAAAATAAAAGAAGAACTTGGTAGAAGTAGTTTAACATTTTTCAAGAACTGCTATGTTCCAAGTAGAACAATTAATTTGACTGAGTGTTATTTATAAAAACCTAAGCGATAAGTTTTAATGTACACTCCTACCCTAAAAAATGAGGAAATGTTAAGACTAAATTTTATTTTTACTTATTGCCTATTTTTATCTCTCCTGTTCATTGCATTAATCTTTTTGTCCACCATACCCATTTTGTTGAATATTGTTGTGATCTTAGTAGCGTGGTAGATACCGATTATTAAATATTATTCATTCAATATCGAAACATTCTACTTTTAATTTATTTCATTTTAAACTGTCGATAAATCTAGTGGCAAATTTTAACTGTCAGCCCGGAAAAACTGTTATTTGACGTTGGTCGTTGCGTTGCGCCGTAGACTCACAGAAAATAAATTGGTGGACTTTCCGCCAACAATTTTAACGCTCCATTTACATAGTTTATTTTCGACGTGTTTATGCGTATAATTTTCTAAACAATGTGTGCAACATGCATTTATTTATCGGGGACATTTTCTATGCCGAACCCGATCATTTTGGTGCTATTGCAAAATGTGGCGTTGATAGAAAAATGCCCTCGTCAATACAAGAAATAATCGAAACAATAAAAACAAACAATCGATTTTTATGGTTTCGGCATTATTTCAGACGTGAGTAGGACGAGATTTTAAATTCAACAAAACATCATCGGTGCCAATAATGAAGAAATTGTTTGTTCACCACCAATTTCCGGATTGTTGTTGAATAGTTTTCTTGGATTACCCAATCATGCGAGATTTATGGCACATCAGGTGGTAATAATAAACATTTTTTTTTTGAAATTGTGTTTTTGTTTTTAAGAAAGATACAAGCTGCATCGGTTAATTTTTTTCCAGTTCCGTTTCATTCAAAATGCTATTAATTAATGAATCATTGAATAGGTAAAAATTAAAAAGCTTACTCTTAATGCTGGTTGGTTAGGCATCTGGAAAGGACCATTACATTTTTCACCCTAAAATTTTAAATTAGTTTTATTTTTGAACGATAATTTTGTAGTACAAATTTGAAAGAAACTCTTATTAATGTTGTAATAAGAAATTGGTCATAATTCTCACTCGTGAATTAAATTGAAACATAAAAGTTGACGGTTTTCAAGATCCCGTGAAAATGTGAAATTAGACGAAAATCACAAATTCCAGTGGCGTTCTGAGAAGCACGCCGTTATTTTTGAATAAAAAAAAATGACCGCTAGCGATTTAAAAAGTCTTTTTACAGTCCCCTGATAATTTTTTAAAGAAGATTTGGGTTTAAGGCACCGCTTGCGACACCAATGGAGTTCATAATTAAGATTTAGTTTGTGATTTAAGAGCACTGAAACACATCGAAATTTTGTCGATTGGTGCGGACGGTGCGCGCCATTCGGAGACTAAATTTACTCCTCATGCCAGACTACTACCTAGTTTAGACAAATAGTTGAGTTGGTGATTAAGCTAAATGCGTTGGAACGAGGTCCTCGCCCCTGGTTAAAACCTAAGTATGTGTCTGGCATACGGGGGGCGTTCGCAAAGTTGCTTCTAGCGAAAACTTACACGGCTGTCGTTTATTTCAGAGTAGACTCAACTGCCGTTCACTTTCCCTGCCTCCTCGGGGAACAGAGGCCGCTTCCTATCCATTTGGCCTTCCGCGGCCTGTCCGTTTCCGTCGGCGGTAGGCAAATACTCCAAGATGTCGACGGCTTGGTCAGGCCCGGTCAAATTTTGGCCGTCATGGGACCGAGTGGTTGCGGTAAGTCGCACCGATGGAATAAATTTTTAATTTTTCCATACTTACCATGATTTTGAAATAATATTTTTGCAAGAAATTTTGGAATTGGTTTCCTTTTGGCGCGAATGAATTTGTAGATAATTATCGTGTAGATTGTAGAGGGCACTCCTTGCTATACTGCAATCAAATAAAAACAATCTCTTTTTGCATTTTCTGCTGCTCAATTTTCTTAAGATTCTTCAGTGTGACCGACCTTTTTTCACTTTTTATCTATGCCTATAAATAATCAACAATCTACGGTCGCTACATTTTATTTTTCCTAATTGAAACACTGCCAAATGCACCTTCAATATTGATGTTTTTTCGAACTCTATTTGGCTCTACAATGGAAAGTCTTGTACCGAAATTTTTCCTGCGCTCCATATAATATTACTAATTTGTTGGTATTACAGGGAAGACAACCCTATTAAATTGCCTAAGTGGTAGACTGAAACTTGACTCCGGTCAGATTTTCTTCAACAAAGACCTCCTTTGCAAACGATGGAAGAGGAAGATTTGTTACGTGTTGCAACAAGACATTTTCTTTCCGGATTTAACTTTAAGGTTAGCTGTTACCATTTAGCTGCGTTGCAACTCTGACGGTATTATTATTCTTTTTGTTGCAGACAAACCTTAGAATATACCGCAAGACTGAGATTACCCGATGTGATGCCCCATTCGCAGAAAATGCAATACGTCGACCATATCATAGATGTTTTAGAATTAAACAACTGCCAAGATACCATCATAGGTGATTACATCAAACGAGGCCTTAGTGGAGGGGAGAAAAAGAGAGCCAACATCGCCTGCGAACTCCTAACGAATCCGTCGCTCATGTTGTTGGACGTAAGTGGCGATTTGAAACGGTAATTAAGGTCGCCATTAGCAAATCGGGTGGAAAATATCTAATTACGAGTCAGTGGGTGTGATTGCGGCGGTGCAGAGTCTATATTTTTCAGTGATCGTATACACAGATACGCAATGAATATCCAAATGTCATTCTAAACGTACATGATTACGCAAATTATAGTATTATAGTATATAAAATAGTATTAGTCGGGTATCACACTAGAATCGCCATTTTTTCACCTCTCGTTTTCAGAATCTTCACTATAACTAAAAAAAGAAAGAGAGGAAGGATATTAAAAAATCTAAATCTATAGAAGTTATAAAAAGGGAAATAAATTTATCTTTTAGTTTTCTCTATGGACCTATTCTTCTCAATTTTTTTTATGTTTTCCTCAGTGTATTTTTGTCCTTTTTAAGTTTTTAATCTGGACCTAGTTCCATGTTTTTTATCTCCCTCTTTTCGGTTTGATTTTTCGACTGATCGACCACGAGAATGCAAGTGTTACAATTAGTAAGTGAGAGGTGATTGCAATAAAGAGAGAGGTATGGTCTGTTCGTAGATATAAGAAAGCGACCAATTGCTTTTGAATGGGGTTATCCAAGGATGGTCATTAACATACAATGCAACCAGATTATCACCTAAAGTTTCGGAATTTAATTTCAAGTTAAATTGTGGTCCGTAATAGAAAATAATGTTATAACTACCTGTTTAATATTCTCTGGTTTAGTATACTACTTAGTTTAAGTTTATTAGTAATTATTCTTATTTCGTGTGTAATATAGCGTGTGTTGAATTGTGTGCACTATTCTATTGAGACTAAGGAAGTTATAAACAATGTTTATTTGACTCTCATTGAACGTGGTGCCAGCAAGCAAGCATATTTAGAAGAAACGGCCACATTGACAAAAATTCCAACATCAAACTGTATGGAAAATTGTGAATAATCCCATTTCATCGAGAAAACAAAGAAGCGATGCTGACATTTTCAATGATCAAGATATAATACGTCGTAAAATTTACCAGTTATACGAGGAACAAAGCGTGCCTACATTAGATATTTTAATTAGGCTTGAAAAAGATGAAACCGGTGTTAAATGTGACAGAACTACCTTATGGACGTGTATTCAACACATGGGTTTTAGATTTAAAAAAATTGACAAAAGGCAAGTTTCAATGGATTCTTTTAGAATTCGGAAATGGCGACTGGAATATCTAGAAAAAAATAGGATGTACAGAGAACAACAAAGGCCAATTATTTACTTGGATGAAACCTGGTTCGACACTTATGATACCCTGGAAAAGAGTTGGGTTGACTCAACTGATAAGTGTAAAACAAACGCGCCATCAAAAAGAGGTAAAAGAATAACTATTTTGCATGCTGGCTCTGAAGATGGTTGGATTCCAAATGGACTTTCTCTGTCTGCGAAAAATATTAAAGATTCTTCTCTGGATTACCATGAAGACGCCACCGCTAAAATTTATTTGAAAGTTATTTTAAAAACAAACTAGTTCCAAACATTCCTCCTAATAGCGTCATTGTAATGTCAATTGTCAAGTTATCACAGTAGACAGTTGACTAAAACCCCTTCCTCATGTGACACAAAAGCAACAATCCAAAACTACATGTATAATAACGACATTTATTTTCACGAAGATTATACCAAAAAGCAATTAATTGAGGTTCTAGAAAGCTTGAACCTACAAAAGGAAAACGTCTGTGATAATTATGCAAAAAATCTAGGGCATACAGTTTTAAGGCTTCCACCTTACCACTGTATATTTAATCCCATTGAACATGTTTGGCACCAACTGAAATCTGCCATTCGTCGTAACAATGTTTTTCCCCGTGTTAACTCCAATGTCCTCAAACTTATAGAAACCGAGGTTTTTAACATCCTTCCACGAAGTTGGGCAAAAAAGCAGAACATTCGTATATCCATATTGCAAATAATATAGAAAAATTATTAATTAGAACAGGTGATGATAACGAGAATGATACTGATATATTTTGTGAATGATTTTAAGTAATTTAAGTAGGTAATAAAAATAATTTGTAATTTTATTTTAGATTTAAACATAAATACATACATAAATAAATAAATATTGTTTAGTATCTTTCCTAACAAAACCCCAAATAATTAAATTCTAAGCAAAGTACGGACTTGATCGGCCATATTTCATTCTTACAGCTTGCCCCGGTCTCTTTCCTAAAAGGACGTTATAATGAATCTTCCACACCAACATTCTTAATACCTATGCACTCCACTCTGTCGTGGTTTGGATCCATGAGCTAACTTTCTGATATTTACACTTCTCCCTGTTATTTTCATCCTTTATTCTGCCCATCCTTGTCTTACTCGCAATTATTCTTAATCATATCTGATGTTTTTGTGGATGTCAGTGTCAGCACCATGCTCTTACAGATGCGGACTTTTGTTAGCATCCAGATATAGTGGACGCCCTACTTATTTAAAGTCTGACTTCTTCGTTCATGTTCTTATAGATTGGTTATTTGGACACTAAGGTGGTTGAAGAATGGCACTTGACCGACGATAGTCTTTTAAATTTGCAACTTACAACTGTTAAATTAAACTCAACAAAAAGGCCCATCCTCTTGCGTCTTTTAAAACATATCGTCCACGTTTTAGGAACCAACGTCCGGTCTTGACTCGCATTCGGCCCACAGTTTAATATCGACGCTTAAACGGTACGCGGTACTGGAAGGAAAAACTGTGGTGGTCACCCTGCACCAACCGTCGTCGCAGATATTCCATCTCTGCGACAAGCTGCTGCTGCTTTGCAACGGCCGAACCGCGTACTTCGGCGACACGTGCAAAGTGGTGGACTTCTTCAGCAGCGTTGGCCTCAACATCATGCCTCATTATAACCCTGCGGATTTTATACGTACGGCCGAGGATCCATACGAGGAAAACCGATTTTTAATATACCATGTTTCAGTGGAACAAGTCAAAGCTTCATCGGAAATTCGACAAAAACTCATAGCCGCCGCGGAACAAACGAGGAAAGACAAGGACTATCCGATCGAGCTCAGGTGTCACGAAATGCACTACATCACGGACAAGTTTGATCACAAAATCTTGCAAGCAACGCAAGGACCCTACCCAAATTTAGAACGTGCGTGAGAAGTTGCCTAGCGAAATTTTAGATTGACGTCGAACGTTTTTAGATGAACAAATGGAACCCGATGTCCGAAGATTATGGCTGGACACCCATTCGCACGCTTCGTCCTCTGCCAGTTCGGATACCAGCGAAGACTGTTACTTTAACTGGCCCACGAGTTTTTGGACCCAGTTCAAAGTGTTGTCGCAAAGGAACTTTCAGGAAGCCAGGCCCAGGATGTTATCGAAACTGAACTGGGTACAAACGATCGGCCTAGGTATACTGGCCGGTCTCCTCTGGTTTCAGTTGGAACGAAGGGAAGAAGCTCTGCACGACATTCAAGGCTGGATGTTTTTCTCTACCACGTATTGGATGCTGTTCGCGCTATTCGGGGCACTCAGTTCATGTAAGACGCTTGTTAACTCATTGAGCTCCATTTTATCAAAAGCTTTTAGTTCCGCCCGAACGCGAAGTGATAAACAAGGAAAGGCAATCGGGCGCCTATCGATTGTCTGCCTATTATTTAGCGAAAATGGTGGGGGAGTTACCACTGACCGTCACCCTCCCTGCTATCTACCACTTGATATCTTATCCCATGCTGGGTAAGAATTTGCATTCGTTCACAAGAACATTCCCGATTTCGTTCTCGCATTTGTAGGTTTCCATTCACCTTTAGTGTTCCTTAAGCTGTTGGGTTTCCTGTTGTTGAATACCATTGTGGCGCAGAGCGTCGGGTTCTTCATCGGCGCCTGTTGCATGGACATGCAGGTAAACATCGTCAAATTTTTGACTCGGAATCTGCTTAAACATGCTTTTTTTCAGGTCAGCATTACGATTAGCGCCCTGTATACGCTCTCGACGCAACTTTTCGGCGGATACTTGGCCACCAACATACCCACGTGGCTAACGTGGATGCGTTACACTTCCATGGTACATTTCGCCTACCAGAATATGCAGATCGTTGAGTTTAGCGATGGATTGCCCATTTTGTAAGATTTTTTTCTACTCCCGTCTGTAAAATGCCGACCTAGCGTGCGGGAAGCATCACTTTACCACTTCACTTTCGTTTTCCACGGATCCGAGCCATTTCGGACGTTTCCGGGATTTTACCGCCCGGGTTTGGGAGCGATCGGATCTTTTCGGAGATATTTCCCACGCCTTGAATATATTTGTGTTGTTTTGCGAAAATGTACTCGAAAACTAACGGTCGTAGAAAAAGTATAGTATGCAACACGTTCGGTAAACTTTTTAAGTCACTCGTTTATTAAAAACTCGCTCCGCTCGTGTCAAATAAACTCGTGAGTCAAATGCCGTTTACCGCACTTGTTGCATAATGTACTATTATTTTTTAGTCGAGGCCTGGTGGGAGTGGATTTCCAAACAACTGACTAATAATAACTTTATTTGTAATATAAGTTATTTTTTATTCTATTAGCTTAAAATGAAATACCACGTTGGTATATTTACGGGTTCCAAATCCAAAGGCAATATAAATGGTCATGTTGGTGGTTCTCACATTAGAAACAGTAAATCACAATGACACACTGAGAACTTGCTTGCAACTTCACTACAGAACAACTGACCTTGGTCTCGTGCAATATTCAATCGAAGTCTGAAGGCAAAAATGTCCATTGCAATTAAAATTAATAATGCACTTAATCTTCGTTTTCTACAAAACACCCATTTTTTTTCTTTTTCTTTTTCTAGTGCCTTATCATCTGTTGACGTTGGCGATTATATTGGCTCATCCAACTTTGTCTACTGCCGCCCTGAACAGTTCGACAGATGTTTTCCCTGTCCATTGCTTAAGCTTGTGTAACCATGAGATTCTGCGCCTTCCAGGTCTTCTTTTGTCTTCTAGTTTTTCCTGTGTTATAAGTTGGAGTATTCGTCATTTCTTTTATGTTCTTTGTTTTCTTCCTTCTTTCTTTATTCATTCTTCTTCTTTTTTATTTTTATTCATTCTTTCCAAGATCGTGTCGTTAGTTATATCGTGTGTCCATGAGATGTGCATCATTCTATTATAGCATCACATTTCAAATGAGATCAGGCCTCCATACCATAGAGCATTACAGAGAACACGTAACGTTTGAGGAATCGCAGCCGTATTTGGAGATTAAGGTTTAGATTACAGAAAATGTTTCTGAAGCGGTTGAATGCTGAGCATGCTTTTTCTATTCGAGCAATAATTCCCCAGGAATGATCCCATCTTTCATTCAAGCTGCAACCAAGACACGGAAATGTTTCTATTTTTTCGAGCTTAGTGTTTTTCACTTGCAGATCAACTTTGGTGTTTGGATTTTTGCTACTGATCCTAATGTTGGCCTTCTTTGTGTTTAAGAAATATTCTTAATTCTAATTATGATCCTGTTAATTAATCTCTGTAATCCTTCCGCGCTGTTTAATATTGATATCTCCGTTAACCAGTATTCTATCTGTACATTCAGTCAAAGCTTCATTGAAGAGATGCTCTGAGTAGACATTCAATAATAGAGGTGATAAAACGCATCCTTAATGGACTTATATACTTATTTCGGTAGATGTTGACTCTGCTACTGGGACTATCGCTTTGTGTTGAGTATATAAGTGGGCAATGATACACATATCTGCATCTTTTATTCCTGGTGACTGTAGTATTCCGAGGAGCTTTTTTTGACTTTGTCAAATGCCTTTTCAAAATCAATGAAGTAAAGAAACACGTCGCAGTTAATGTCGCGAGCTCTTTGGATCAATGCTTGAATTCCAAATAATGCTTCTCTGGTGTCTAGGCCATTTCTGAATCCCATTTGTGTGTCCCTGATATGTTCTTCTAGTTGAGGGTGTATTCTATTGTGGATTATATATTAAAAAGAACCTTGAGAACATAACTCCTCAATCTAATCGTGCGATGTTCTTCGCATTTTTTGGTGTTGTTCTACTTAGGAATTGGGATGAAGGTTGATAGAAGCCATTCTCTTGGCATGATGCATGTTTGATATTTTTTATTGAACAACTTTGTTAAGTTGTCAATTCTTTAAGAAGTTCTATTACTAGCTTTACCCCAACAATAAATTCGTGAATGTTTAATTATACAAGAATTAGAAAAAGAAATGCTGCACTTCCCTTTGTCATTACTGCTATCCAATATTTAAAGAACGTGATGCGTCAAGGTTTTGGGTAGGAAATTAAAAATCGAAAGTTAAAATGGGTTACAAATAAATTTAAAACGATTCCTGAACTGTTTAAAAGATTTTTGAGGATACCAAAAGACAGTTTTTTAAAAAATCTGGAAACCTAATGTACACTGTGTCTACACTGAATTCTACGTAAGGATCTATATCGGATGCGCTTTCATAGGATATCCGAAGTACGGGGGGTGCCCCAAAACTTCAAATTGCAAAATCACAAAAAAAGTACCAAAGGTTTGCGATGTGAATTGTATCAATAAAAAAATAAAAAAAAATACATTTTGAAATGTAGGTGCTTTTAAAACAATTTTTTCCTGTCACTAAATGAAGGACGCATAGTGTGCTGGTTTTGAATAATTTTCATGCTTTATAAAACAATATTTATATTTGTTCTTGTATTTTCAGATGTGCCCAACAGTCAAAGTTCGCTATCTGTCACGAATCGGGTCACATCCCGGTGTCCGCCATTTTGGAGGCGCAGGGAACATACTTGCCGCTATGGGCGAACACCGTGGTATTATTAGGTTTCTTCTTCGTATTCAGATTACTTGGCTACATGGTGTTGCGCTACTTTAACATACCCAAGTGATCCGGTTTACCGCTACACACTGAATCACGCGTGAACTGGACAAGGGTAAAAAAACGACGAGCCACCACCAACACCAACGTAGTTTAGGTGTTAGATTCGCCGATCGTTGTTTTTACCTTTTCCAGCACATTCTTTCATACCAAATTGTGATATATTCAATAGCTGTTAGTTTTTACCATTGAAAAACCAATAATCAAGACACGGCCGTGGGCTGTGTGAATCTACTGGTTTTTTTTCTAAGAATATAATTTTTGCCAATATTTTTCGAACAGTTTACTGTACAGCGCGTCCGGGAATAAAGTCGACAAAGAAATTTGCTGCTTACACATTTTATTTAGTGCCAAAAGAAAAATACAATCCTCAGGACGAAAGTTGGAACATAAAAAGTCTAAAGCCTAGAATTGAACGTCTTGATTTGTCCGTTTAGGTTCCGGACGTCCTGTATAGAAGTAGCGAATTAAGTGATTATAAGAACAGTCCAGAGTGAGCGGAAGAAATGTGGATTTAATACAAAAACCTACAGGCTGTGCTTAAATGTAACTTTAGTTTTGTGTTAGTTCTTCATATTATTGTGGTAAATTTAGGTGTATAATTAAGTCGTGTTCATTCCAGTTCCATTTTTGACTTCAAAAAGAAAACTTGTTTTTGCAGTTGAAATTCAAGGTCATAGGCGGTGAGCTCCGCAAAGCCCAAGGCACACAATCACTTCCCCTAACGTTTAAAAAGAGCTCACCCTGTATGCACCCACCTGGATAATCAAAAGGCAAAAAGCGATGCACTGAGTGCCTTTTTTTTCCTTTAAAGTATTCTATGTGCCAATGAGAAAGCGAATCAACCAGCTACGGCTACTGCCAAGGTAACAAAATGTTCTATCTGATTCACAATCACTGACGAGTCTGACATCAACTCCCCTGTAAATAATCGAAATACTAAAAATATACACGGTGATTGTTAAGTTTATAAATTCGGGCTTTGAAAAGAGACAGTAAATATTTCGTTTTAGGTTGCACCACGTGACTGAGAGGTGTGATATGTATTGGTATATTCTATGAACGGTGCTACTAAAATAAATATTCAACACATTTCTAAATGCCTGTTTTGCACTTGTATATAATTTTACGCAATAAACAATTCCGCACAACAAATGTTTCCAGCATAATGAAAATAGCAAAAATAACAAATAAACGGCAACCCTCAATTTTCAATGTGTGTAATTTGGGTTGCATATCCTTAAAGAATCAGTACACCATGAAAGAATTGTTTTTCTGGGTTTCAATTAAGCAAGAACTCTGCGGTATAGAACCAAAGTGTCTATTGTCGTATTACATAAAAATCTTTCATAATCAATCAAAATGTAGTAGACAAACCTCACAAGTATAAAGCAGACATTAGAAAAAAGGAAATTTATTAAGAAATTTCGAAATACTCAGGCTTTATTTTTCACTTTCCCATGCTAAATTTTTACCGAAATTGTTTTGTTTCGAGATTTTTGAAAATATTTGTAAAAAAACTTACTCCCATATCGCGAAGAACTATTTCTTACAAGTATATCGCGTATTTTTTTCATATATTTTTGAGGGATCTTGTTTTAATTACGTTTTTAAAGATATATCTTATATATACCTGAAATAATTGATTACCAATAAGTGTTCCATCACTATTAGTCAAAGTTGAAGCCTCAACGCGGGTCCGGAGAGCGGGCCACTGTACAGATATTTTTATTTATTTTTGTTTTCGCGTCGGGCCTGCTAGGGGCTCTGTAATATAACCATATAAATAAGCCTTTTGCCTTTTCGACTTTGTTTGGTGTTTTGTAAATATTCTTTTAAAATTTCGAACTTTTTTCAATCTTGACAGTTACACTTATTGAATAATTTTAGGACAATAAATACAAAATTTATAATCGTTAGGCATCCAAATTATATCCGTTTGTGTCCTGCCTTTATAGAACCATATTTCAGGAATGTTCCAAATTATATTTAATTCACCTTGAAATATCGTTCTGTAAGTTAATGTTAGTTGGAAAATGTAACTCTTGGTGCACACGTTTTCCAGCTTACCAAATGAACTGTTCAATTAAACAAACATTGTTTAGCCAAATTTAGAAAAGGAGACCAAATGTTGCACTGCCATTTAAAAATACTATTAGGCAAACTTTTAAACACAAAATTTAATAATTGCATGTTGCTAAAGATAAAATTTTAAAAGTTTCTAAAAAATTTATAATCCATATCATATTAAGATATTTATGTTATATAGTATCTCTATGTTCTATGATAATTTCAGTTGTAAATTGATTAAAACGAAATATATTGTACATTCATAAAACAAAAAGTATGTAATTATGTTATTATGGCTAGTCTTAGCATTTCTCATTTATCTAGGATTTTTATTTATGTAAACCAATAAAAAAACTATGAATATTACAGGTGTGTTTTATTGACAATTTGGAGTGCCTACTGCTATCCACTGCCAACTAAAATTTTTATTTAAAAAACGGCAATTGCCGAAAAACAGGGATTTTTTATTGAGCAAGACAAAAAGCGGTAGGTATAAAAAACCCAAATACCTATTTCAAAAAAACGATTGTGGTAGTGGTGGTAAAGAAGACGCCTCCACATGGTCGGTTCATGGTCAGTCAGTTGTACCATAAAACAAGAGCGACCAGAAATAATATTTGATGCGCCGAATCCAATCTAAAATGAGTGTTTTTCATTTTTGCACAGCAATCGTGAGTACCCGCACTTTCAATTATTTTTTACTCGAAGAACTTCATAAATAGTTTAACAGCTTGTAACGGTGGTTTGTAATCTAACCTCTAATCCGCTTCACTGATCGCGTATTTACAAATAAAAATTTGTCCACACGGTTGGCATCTCATGGTAACAGTGCGAAACAAAAACGAAGCAACCTTTAAGTCATTTTGCTTTAGCTACCGGACGTTAGGTAGCGCGGTGTTAGCTGCCACACAGATTTCAAAAGTTATATATATTTTTCCAGTCACACTTTGATTCGAAATTAGAGTGTGCCCAAGATAACATGAAGGTTACGAAAGCGATTAAATTTGCGATGATTTTTAAATTGTTTGAAGAGTAATGCTAAATTTTTAATTTACCAAAATACTGTATTTTAATTTATATTTACATGGAGCAATTGCCGAAACAAATACTCTTCTCGCGTTCTGCAAAAAGAAACGTTATCTTATAGAATTAAAAAAATGACATACTATATATTTCAATCGCGATTTCTTGTATCACTACCGGAGAGGTCAAAAGTTGAACTTAATTTGAGCATGACGTTGTTTTTAGTGATATGTTTCCACCGAAAGTGAGGAGAAGCAAACGACTCTTATTTACGATAATATTCCTAACGCTCGTCCTAATAATAGTTTGGAGAATACACATCCGAACCAACAGAGATGGCGACTTTCTCTCCATTCCTAAGAAACACATTTTTAGGTGAGTTGAATAATTTTTCGTAATCGTCACGAAAGCGGCAGCTACAAACCAGAAACGTTTAGGGAAAGCGGGCAAGAAGAATATATGGGAAAGAATGGAATCAAAGTGATCGTGGGTCATTACGTGGGCAATTCCAAAAGAAACGTTCCCAACGCCACCTACGATATGCTGAACAAGAACAACTTCGATCCGCGACCAGAGGCGGGAAGTATGGGAAATCCGGTCGTAGTCGAACCCAAAGATCTCCTAGTGATGCAGCAACTGTTTCAAATCAATAGGTTTAACCTCTTAGCTAGCGATCGGATACCTCTGAACCGTACTCTACCTGATGTCAGACGGAAAAAGTAAATCGGTTTGATTTAAGATAATTGAGTAAAATCTTTTTTCTTTAGCATTGGGAGAAAAATTCATTTCTTGGCACATGGAGGCTACTTAAAATAATCATTCCTAAGTAACATTGCCAAATTTCAACAATATCGAGAAAACCGACTTAAAAAGAATATTTTTTATTAGAAACTGGTCCCTTAAATTCAGCGCAAAATTTGTACTATTCCATGGTTAAAGGAACAATTTTGGCTCTAAACTGTATAAATCGATCGAAACGTTCTTAACTCATAGATTTCAAAATGGTGTTCGATTGTAGGTGTCGCACGAAATATGACGATTATAAGACGTACCCCACAACTAGCGTTATCATAGTGTTTCACAACGAGGCGTGGTCGACGCTGCTGAGGACTGTTTGGAGTGTAGTGAACCGTTCTCCGGGAGAACTTTTGGAGGAGATAGTTCTGGTTGATGACGCAAGCGAAAGAGGTATGATGATGGTACTATTGATTTGTTTATTACCTATCGCAACTTCCTCCCAGTTATAGCACTTATGATTATTTTTTCATTATTTTTATCAGTAGAAAAGAAAGTAGATAGGAAATTAACCAAATAACGAGTTTCAAGGATATTTTCGGAGAGATGATCTACATGAACGCCTCTGGATTAGTTTTTTTTTTTTTTCAATTTTTTGTGAAGAGTCTAATTTCGAGGGTAATGATTATTCCACTCTACAGATTCTTCTTTTCTTTCTTGGCGAAAACGATCCCATTTTGCCAATTTCTCTTATTTATTCGCAAAAACTATTATGCTAACATACATGAGATTTGCTTTTGCCGTAGCAGATAAGAAATTCGCTAAACAATATTCTTTACTAAGCGACACCATTTTTGCGCCAAATTTATTGAACTCTTTTGCCATCTTCAAGGTTACATTTTGAGTTGTATTATACGCATGAACATTATTCCAGTTTGCTATTTACATAATTTGTAATTCGCTCAAATAATTCTCTAATGTTAACTCTTAATTAAAAACAAAAGTCTCAAAGGATTTTACTAATTCAAAGAGTCAAGGACGAGAAACAAATTTAAAATTTTCCGTTTCATGTTACTGACTCTTTGCAACATTTCAACTCCATGTTTGTAAACAGTATTCAGATGACGTAGTTTCAACATGATTATCTAGACGTCTCATAAATCTCAAGGTAGATGGCACTCGAGTCATATAAATTCCAATTCGAAAATTCGTGAAATGTTAAACTGGAATTTAGCGGTAACTTAAAACATTAACCAAAAACGTGTAAATTTTTTTTAGTTTGGTCATAAAAATAAAAATTTATGCGGTAATTAGTTTGCGACAAAAAAGAATTTATAGATAATGGGTAATAGACAACTGTACTGACATTTAGCTGATATATTATAACTTATCCCTGAATGACAAATTATATTATATAAACAATATGTTGAGATATGTTTATTAATACAAAAATTTCATTATAGATTATTAATTAATCACCAGTGAGAACAAACAATACAAAACATAAAAAATCACAGTTAAAACAGAATCACCCAGACATACATTTATTTTATTAATCGTATCTTATAGGCCTGTCTTGAAACCGATATTTTTCGTTTTGACCAATAGCGAACTCTTTAAGCTCTGTTTTTTTTACCGAAGTTCGAGACAAGTAATTTTGAAATAAAAATATATGTTCTCTAGACCGGACCATATTATTTTAGTAAACAAAAACAAATGACTAAATAAAAAAATTCCAATTTATCAACAAGCAGTCGAACTAACATGCGAAGCCAATGGTTACTCTAACTTAACCTGTAAATCAGACTTCTTTAAATTTAATAAGCAAACGTAATTTAGCACAGATACTACGTAAGAAGCCAGATATGTAAAGATAAAAAAAATGAATCTTATCCGCAATCAGGGGGCTACATCAGCTGATCATTCTTATTTTTTCTATTTATTAAAATGTAATTTTGCTGCTGCAGCCAAAATAAAACGTTGCATTTTGCTTTTGCTTCCCGGATATCAATAGTTCCCATACTTGGTAAGGTCTTCGAGACACTTTTAAAAAATCAATTATCACGATTTTTTCAAAAAACAAAATGCATTTGTGATTCCCAATTTGGTTTTAAGACCGGCTGCTCCACTGTGCAGGCGGTTCGCAGGGTCGTGCGAGACGTGGTGGAGGGCCTGGAGTGACCTCACTAAGGCTTTCGACTGCGTCTCTCATGAATTCCTTCTGGAGAAGCTTGTCAGATATGGTGTCCGTGGTCACCCTCAGGAACTTATCCGGTCATATTTAACTTACAGAAGACGGTGTGTCATCTTTAACAATAACATATCGGAGTTGAGGGTTGTGAGCAGTGGGGTGCCTCAGGGCTCCGTCTTGGGTCCGCTACTGTTCACTATTTACATCAATGACTTTAAGTGTACACTTTATGCGGACGATACATCGTTTGTGACTTATGGCTTATGACTTATGACTCCAATGAACTTATGCACAATGTTGATAATGTTGAGCGGATGGCGGAAATTTGGTTCACCAACAATAACCTTAAACAAAACATAGATAAGACACAACGTCTTGTTTTCTCAACTAATAATAATAACTAACCAAAACTGGCCTCTAATATTTTATAATTCGTAAACTTAAAGGACTGCTTACCGCGGGCAAATTGCGAATTACCTATTTTTCTTTTTTTTACTCTCATCGTTCCAGAATACCTTCGGAAACCTCTCGAGGATTATTTACCCAAGATCCCAGTGAGAACGAAACTCCTCCGTAGTCAACGACGCATCGGATTGATCAAAGCCCGTTTGAAGGGGGCGGCCCATGCGCACGGGCAAGTGTTAACATTCCTGGACGCTCACTGCGAGTGCACTACCGGATGGTTGGAGCCCCTATTGTCTGTGATAAAAAGGAACCCGAAGACTGTCGTCTGTCCCGTGATCGATATCATCCACGACGATACCTTCGCCTACGTCAAGAGTTTCGAATTGCACTGGGGCGCTTTTAATTGGAACCTGCAGTTTAGGTAAAGTCTGTTCATAGATATGAGGAAGTGACTAACTGATACGAATTAAGGAAAGACCCGGGCAAGCCGAACATGTCCGTACTTTGCTTAGAATTTAATTATGTGGGGTTTTGTTAGGAAAGATACTAAACAATATTTATTTGTTTTTGTATGTTATGTTAAATTACTTAAAATTATTCACATAATATATCAGTATCACTATCGCTATCATCGCCTGTCCTAATTATTATTTGTTCTATATTATTTGCAATATGGATATACGATTGTTCTGCTTTCTCTATATGTTTAACAGAATTTGCCCAACTTTGTGGAGGGATGTTAAAAACTTCGGTTTCTATAAGTTTGAAAACATTGGAATGGCAGATTTCAGTTGGTGCCAAACATGTTCAATGGGATTAAATATGCAGTGGTAAGGTGGAAGCCTTAAAACTGTATGCCTTAGATTTTTTGCATAATTATCACAGACGTATTCCTTTTGTAGGTTCAAGCTTTGTAGAACCTCAATTAATTGCTTTTTGGTATAATCTTCGTGAAAATAAATGTCGTTATTATACATGTAGTTTTGGATTGTTGCTTTTGTGTCACATGAGGAAAGGGTTTTGTATTGTCCATTACAATTACGCTATTGGGAGTAATGTTTGTTTGTTTTTAAACCAACTTTCAAATAAATCAGCGGTGGTGTCTTCATGGTAATCCAGAGAAGAATCTTTAATATTTTTCGTAGACAGAGAAAGTGCATTTGGAATCCAACCATCTTTAGAGCCAGCTTGCAAAATAGTTATTCTGTTACCTCTTTTTGATGGCGCGTTTGTTTTACACTTATCAGTTGAGTCAATCCAACCCTATTCCAGTCGCCATTTCTGAATTCTAAACAATTAAATTAAAACTTGCATTTTGTCAATTTTTTAAAATCTAAAACCCATGTGGTAGTTCTGCCACACTTAACAACGGTTTCATCTTTTTCAAGCCTCCTAATTAAGATATCTAATGTATGCACGCTTTGTTCCTCGTATAACTGGTAAATTTTAGGCCGTATTATATCTTGATCATTGAAAATGTCAGCATCGCTTCTTTTTTTTTCCTCGCTGAAATGGGATTATTCACAATTTTCCATACAGTTGGTGTTGGAATTTTCGTCAATGTGACCGTTTCTTCTAAAGATGCTTGCTTGCTGGCACCACGTTCAATGAGAGTCAAATAAACATTGTTTATAACTTCTTCAGTCTCAATAGAATAGTGTTTTCTACATTTGATTGGGAGATATCTCCTGAGATACACTAGACTCGCACATATTTTCCATAATTCGCACACGATTCAACACACGCTGTATTACACACGATATAAGAATGATTACTAATTAGCTTAAACTAAGTAGTATACCAAACCAAGGAATATTAAACACAGGTAGTTATAAAATTATTTTCTATTACGGACCACAATTTTACCTGAATTTAAATTCCAAAACTTTAGGTGATAATCTTGTTGCATTGTATGTTAATGACCACCCTTGGATAATCCCATTCAAAAGCAATTGGTCACTTTCTTATATCTATGAACAGACCATAACCGTTTAATACGGAATACTATATGCGAGTTCGTGCAGGTGGTTCACTTTGTCCGGGAAACAATTAGACGAGCGTAAACTAGACACCACTCAACCTTTCGATACTCCTGCGATGGCAGGGGGGTTGTTTGCGGTCGACAAGGCGGTTTTCTTCCAGATCGGGTCCTATGACGAGGGCATGGACGTTTGGGGAGGGGAGAACCTGGAGATGTCGTTTAGGTAAGGATAAAAAGCGATACTATGTTTCTTGAGGCGAGAGAGTAATAAAATGTAAATGTGCAATGACAAAGATCACTTAATACTTAAAAGTAATATCATAAAGTTCAGAAAAATTGCAATAATCTTTTTTTAAAATTCCGTATTTCAGATTTGAATATATTTGATTTTAAACAATTTCGTACAAATAGTTTTATTCAAATTTACATTCTCTAATAGCTCCTTTTTCAGTATATCCTCATGAAATTGCTTCTTATTTAAAGTAAGTCAATGAAGAGACCATTTTTTTTTACGAAGGAGATGTGAATATTTTTTCGGATTTATTATTATTATCCATGATTATATCAGTCCCAGGAGGAATAAAATTTATCATTTAGTTGGAAGTAGTCTTCAAAAACATCAACAACATCCACCAATGTGAGTAATTATTATTTGCTTACCTCGCTGGGTGCTTTTATTCCCTCATTAAGGTTTGACTCGCGCTTTTTAAATTGTTATTCCGCCATGTTTTACCAACAGCCCTCAAATATCGTGGTCGCCAACAAATAATTTCGTCTTTCCCTATCAAAAGCGATTTTCTGTTTGTATTTCTCAAGGCAGTCTTATCATCCTGATTTATTACAATTAAATTTCTTTCTCTATTTCTTTTTGGTGACCCGATTCGAACAGATTTGAAACTATTCTTGCAACTCCGAATGTTGAGTTTTGGGTGCGAAGAGCTTTGAGAATAATAATTTTCTGATTTTTAGATAGCGCAATTTTGCTTATCCGTTTCTCTGCAACAAATTTAGAACCTAACCATTTTTAAGAACGAACTTTGCTAACAACTGTCGGACAGTAACTATAATTTTAATTTTAATCACTTACCTGTCTATTTAGCTCTCAGTCTCGACACCCTTGACAATCACCATGTACAATACTACGTCTGTGGAATACGGCTAAGATCACTAAATTCTACAGTTTTATATTAAGAAAGATCACAGTTGTAACTGATTCTATCTGTACCACACTCTGGAAAGTATTCTGTGCTTTAAAAGTTGCATATACGTTGCTATACATTTGTCCTAAGTGGGTATACAAGGTGTCCACTTATCCACAGTAGAGCAACAAAAGATATTGTAAATGAAACATTTGTTTGATTCATTTTTGTATCGGTCTTATTTTGTTTGCACTGTAACTGCGCTAGTGAGTCCTTTTCCCGTTCATCTTCTTATTTGCTAATTGATTTTCTACACGTTAATCTGATTTAATTAAATTTAGTGTTCATATCGCTCAATTAAAATATTTTTTAAAATTCAAAGGAGTGGCTTATTAACAGCTTCTCTTTATACTTCTATACTTTCCCAGGGTCTACAGCACATTTAATTATCGACGTTCTATCGAAGATTATGCATAAAAAAGCCCAAGATGTTATACATGGTGTGGTCTAATTGAATGTCAATAATTAAGTTGCCGATTTTTGGGTCCATTTCCAAAAAAAAACTTCATATGAATCTATGTCTTAAACGTCTTAACTTTTGAGATACAGGGTGGTAAAGTTTTCACAAATAAAATATATATTATTTTAATATCGGTAATACCACTTCAGATATTTTAATGAAATTTGGCACACATGTACTATATATAAAGAGGCACTGGTACGCCACTGGTTTTCGATTAAAAAAATAAAACCTCTGATCTTAACAATATCGTTAATATGACATCGTACAGAGAATTATTATTGTTATTCTTTCTTAGTTTTGTACTTATTTGTCTGTTTTATTAAAATAATTAAAAAAAACCGAAGTACAAATACGAAATATGTAAACTTAACTAAATTAAATTAATTTAAATAAGAATCGTTTATTATTTATCTTGTTGTTAGGATGTTGGATTATTTCATTAAAACTGCAAAAATAAAAGGAGCAGATATTTTACTTTTCACAAAAAAAAAAGTTCTCGATTTATTTTAAAATGTGAAAATATTATTTGTTCATAGACGGTCAGTGGCACGCCACTGATTTCCTTAAAAAAATAATGACATTTGCATTCATTTATGAACAGATATGATTTTTGAATTTTTTAAATCCTTCGCGCGGTTTTCTCTGTCAAAATAGACAGGAGAAATTCCGTACGCTCGCCACTGATGCATTAAAAAAAAATGGTACACTAAATAATGCCTCTTGATTTATAGTACATCGGTATGAAATTTCATTAAAATATCTAAAATGGTATCAGAGATATAAAAATAATTTGCTCTACTGCCTACCTAATTACACACCGATCTAGCGTGCGGGAAGCGTCACTTTACCACGTCAGTTTCGATTCCCACGAATCCGAGCCATCTCGGACATTTCCGGGATTTTACCGCACGGGTTTGGGGCAATCGGATGATTTCGGAGATATTTCCCACGCTTTGAATATTGACGTTTGTCAATTCTGACGGTCATGTCAGTGAAAACTAACGGGCGCAGAAAAAGTATAGTATGCAACACGTTCGGTAAACATTTTAAGTCACTCGTTTATTAAACACTCGCTTCGTTCGTGTTAAATAAACTCTTGAGTCGACTGCCGTTTATCGCACCTGCTGCATAATAGGAGGGAGTACCCAAAAAAAACCGGAATCATTTTTTATAAACTATATATTGTTTTGAAAATCACAGAACGACCTTATCCCCTTCAAAATACTCTCCATTATAACTAATACATTTGTCCCAGCGGTGCTTCCACTATTCGAAACATTTTTTATATTCATCTTTGGCTATAGCCGACAGCTCATCCCTCGTTTTTTTCTCGACCTCTTCAATGTTGTCAAATCGCTGTCCTTTCATGTCCCTTTTCATACGTGAAAATAAGAAGTCACACAGAGCGAGATCAGGCGAGTATGGAGCATGGGGCAGAGGAGCCATTTTTAGCCAAAAACTGCTTAACAGAAATGGCTGTGTGTGCAGGTGCATTATCGTGGTGAAAGAAACAGTCCGCCACAAATAGGGTCTTTTTTGTCGAATACTGTTGCGCAATCTTCTTAAAACTTCCAGATAAAAAGCTTGATTAACGGTCTCACCTGGTGGAACGAACTCTGCATGAACAACGCCGTTAATGTCGAAAAAGCAAATCAGCATCGTTTTGATGTTTGATTTGACCTGACGACATTTTTTTGGACGGGGAGACAGTGACGTCTTCCATTGGCTGGACTGTTGTTTCGTTTCTGGATCGTAACCATAGCACCCTGACTCGTCACCAGTCTGAATCCGTTTCAAGCTGTTGATTATAAGCACGACATGTTTCAACTCGATGTTCTTTTTGCATGTCAGTCAGAACACGAGGTACAAACATGGCAGCAACTCTTTTCATTCCCAAATCTTCCCCACTTATCTTTGATAATTGTTCAATTGTCTTTTGACGGTCTGTGAGCACAAACTCTCAAATCTTTTCAATATTTTCGTCGATTCGAGCAGTTGATGGACGTCCAGAACGAGGTCAGTCATCAATTGACTCGTCGCCATTTTTGAAGCGAACAAACCACGGTACACTTGAGTTTTTCCTATCGCATCGTCTTTATAAGCTGTTTTTAACATTGAAACAGTTTCAGCAGCACTTTTACCGAGCAGAAAACAAGATTTCACAGCTGCACGTTGTGAACAAAACAAGTTAAATTTAAAACGAAAGTGGCGTTGAACTCGCAATAAGTTGTACTATCCACAACCCAGCGGCAGAAAGGTGTACTATACAAGCTCTGCGCGCGGCAATTCAATTCCGGTTTTTTATGGGTACCCCTAGTATAATATATTTAATTTTTGAAAACTTTACCACCTTGGATCTGAAAAGTTTAAGAGGTTTAGGACATATGTTTTCTTTTCAAAATGGACCCAAAAATCTTAATTAATGACATTCAATTAGAAAACACCCTGTATATAAAACTTAGCTGAATTCAGGAAAATGGTTAATATGTGAACTCCCGCCACTAACGTATTTTAGAAAATTGTTGTGCATTAAATAATAATGCCTCTTCATACGTAGTATATGTATACCAAATTTAATTAAAATGTCTATATATACTACATGTATTAAAAAATATATTACATTTTTGAAAACTTTACTATCCTGTATTTCACAAGTTAAGACGTTGAGCGTTAATATGCAGTTTTATTTTTAAAATGGACCCAAAAGTCGCCGCCTTATATTATTGACATTCAATTAGAAAACAGAGATTTCGGGGGTACATCTTGAAAATTTGAGGACTTTATTATATTCAATCCGGGATTAATTTTAGGATATGGCAATGCGGGGGCAAAATCCAAATAGTACCCTGTTCCCACGTGGGTCACGTGTTTCGAAAATCATCGCCGTATTCTTTTCCGGGTGGTAAATAATGACTTCACCCGAACATTCGCTTGGTATTAGGGAAATGCTTTTTACAGGCATTTCGAACGTCTTGTATTCAAATTTGGCTCGAGTCGCCCTCGTCTGGATGGACGACTGGGGTAAATTTTATTTTAAGTTGAATGATAAAGCTCGCACGGCCAAAGAAAGGCAAAACGTCACCGCTCGAATGGAACTCAAAGAGAGGCTGCACTGCAAGAGTTTCCGATGGTACCTCGACACCGTCTGGCCTCAGCACTTTTTTCCCACGAACGATCGTTTTTTCGGTAAAATTCGAAATTTGGGCAAGGACTTGTGTTTACTGAGACCGCTGCGGTCGGACAAATGGATCAATCAGCCCATGGGCGTTGCCAAAATAGACAGGTGCGTTGGGATTTTAGGAAAATAGAAAACTGCGATGCTAATTTTAGAGCTCAGCAATATGTTTTTTTGAAACTTCTAAAATTCTGAAAACCCGAAACTTGCTGATTTCATTCAATTTTTTTCTTGCGTTATTTGAGAAGTGTGTTATACCTGATTTTTAAAACTGAAAGTAGTTTTGTTCCAATTTAATTGGTTATTCACGGTGTTTTATATGTTTATGGAGAATGACTTACGGTAAAATTCTGAAATGTTGGTTATTTATATTAGCTAATATCAGCTAGATATATCATGCGGCGTTGCCAAATATACTCGTAGCATATATGAACTTTCGTTTTTTAAATGGAACCCCCTGTATATTATTACATATTTAGATTCTTCTAAATATTCTGGAACTTTTTTATGTAACATATACTATACTACTACCTACTATATATGAAATTTTGCAATATAAAATAATAATTTTTATCGCAATCCCAACAGCTAGACAACTTTTGGTTGCGGTTCTCTATTAAATTGCTTTATCATAATATAATATCAGAATTAACTTATTAAATATAAAAATCCATGTTACGTAAGAGTTTTAAATAACTCCATATTTTATATTGTCATGTAAATGAGCAATTAATTTTCCATCTAAAAGCACCAAATATGGCATACCTATTTTCACTGGTTTTGTAGTTATAAGCAAAAAACAAAAATATTGCAATTAAAGCGAATTAAAGTAATCATATTTCATTTGGAAAGCAGTCTCTGGCCGGCCATGGTGACGTTTTTGGTAAACAAATTTGTCGTTTACATAAATAAGATTAATTTTCCGTTATTACCGTGGTCAAATGAGTAATTGTAACAGTGAAACTGGAACGAAATACATATGCCAAAATTTAATATTCATAGAAATTGTTATACACAAGACTATTGTTAAAGACTAATAAACGGTTAATACAACTAACATTGGAAACTGTTGCCCTTCGAATTTCGTTTAGATCAAGTTTTTGAAAGAAATCCTACACTTTCCACTGTGGTCCTTCCTTTTATTTAAAATATCACTGACCACATATCAAAAGTTCTAAAGAAGTATAACGCCAAAACCAGATTTACCACTCTCAACATCTTCAATCCGTCAAAGATAAAATTCCATTTGAGATGCCAGGAGCATTCCATGTATATGCGGCAAAGATTACATTGGAGAAACTGGACGAAAAATATCAACAAGGTTCAAAGAACACGAAAGAGCCTTGCGACTAAAACAAATAAACTCATCAGGTGTTGCCGAACACAATCACGAAACCGGACATAACATTTTATTCGATAAAACTAATAAACTACCACCGAAAAATCTGAGAGTCTATAGAAATCTATAAGCAACCTAACAATCTTAACCGCGACTCAGGTCTCTACCTGTCACCAATATGGGAACCAGAGACGGTGTTTATAACCCTCATTTAGCTCCGCCCCTCTCAAACAATATAAAAGCAGGTACAGAGTAAAATGCAAGCCAGTTTCAGTCAAGCTCTGAAGAAGCCAACAGGATGATTGGCGAAACGTCAGCAATTTCGACGCAGGAGGAATCCAAAAGTTTTGTAAAAAGTAGGTTTCTTCAGTATCCGTTTAATGGGCGAATGAGATATCTCTAAATAATCTTTAGCTCTCGGAATAGAAAATATGCCAAATCGTTGATTTCATTTTGTTCTGAGTTTGTAACAGGTTTTGGAAGGTCCCTTCTACCTAGGTTTCGAAAATTTTCTTCAATTCTTATCAGCTTTTTCTCGTACATTGGAGGCAAATGTATTAAATCCTCTCCACGTTCTTCAAACAATTCTTTGACCCTCAAAATAAATTTAAAACAAATTCAAAATATCTGAGTTTTCATAATTATGTGCCATCGTGCTTGCTCTTCTCTTTCTCAATTAAATGCAATCCATGTCAGTCATTTTAATACAGTAATCACTATAATTCAAATATTTTGATTTTTTGCTTATAACTCGAAAACCAGTGAAAATAGATATACCATAGTTTGATACTTTTCGATGGAAAATTAATTGCTCATTTACGTGGTGATATAAAATATGGGGTGTTCTATATAAAATTCTCAAGTAACATGAATTTTTCTATCTTGCCAATTGGGCCTTATCTTATGAACTCCTTGTACGCGATAAGTTAATTCTCTTATTATATTATGATAAAGCAATTTAATAGAGAACCGCAACCAAAAATTCAAGTGTCTATTTGCGAAAAAAATAATTATTTTATATAATAACAATAATAATAATAGCCTTTATTATAACAAAAAAAAAAACAATATACAATATTAATATTTTTCAAAACAAAGTAAACAGATAGCTCAAAAGCGGCACAGTCTAGCTTTAAATAACAATAACAAATGGACGAACAACAAATAAAATATAAAAAATACCTGCAAAATCGGAAGAACAACATAACTCTACTATACACTACAGAAAATGTAATTGAAGATAACTCAATATAATCCCTTGCTAATAACATAATTAGTAACACATTATTAAAAAACTCTATTTGTAACAAATGATCTATGTACCTTTTTTTAAATGAATATAAATTTGATTTACTGAATTCATGTGACAAAGAATTATAAACACGAATTGCGTTGAATGTGAAAGATTTACAAAACAAGGCACTCTGATGATGTGGCATCGCTAGTCGTGTCTTACATTCACAGAATGGATAGTACTCCTAGGAGTAAGCCGTTCTCTCGGGTTGTTTGTTGTCAAATTTCTTAAAAAGTATTTTTTATGTCCGAAAATGATCAAGATAATTAAAAATTCCACAATGTTCAGGGTGTTTCATTTAAAAAACGAGAGTTGATATATGTTACGAGTGCATCTGGCAACACCGGATGGTCAAAAATATCTTACAGGTAGCTCAAATTCGCTAACATAATTAACCAACATTTCAGGTTTTTACTGTAAGCCATTCTAATGTCTAAATGTCTAATAGGATATTCACCCTGTATACTATCCTATTTTGTGTTAGTGGAGCCACAGTGATACCAGTTGCTTCCTTGTGGCATTACAAAAACATTTTCCTTTAAAAGTGATGGTGGTGGACTTCATCCTGCACCTACTAAAACCTTAAAGCTTATTTAACAATTCAATTTCTTGGAGAAACGTAATAGACGTTTTCGACGACCTACTTCAATTGCAATTGAAATCGAGATGGCTTTTGTTGAAGGTGCCTAGAAGATGACATCGAAGAGGAGATGTTTGTGATGACTCAGGACGGATTCATCATGACTGACGACTCCGTGTGCCTAGACGCTCCAGAAAGGGACGGATTGGGTCCGATGAAAGTTAGAATACTCGCTTGCAGCGGTTATTCGAGACAGAAGTGGGAACACGAGAAGAACGTAAGTCTAAACTATATCTGCCGGGTGCAAATTTCCAACGAAAGCGGTTTCAGAGTAAACAACTGCGACATGTGAGCAATCGTAAGTGCTTAGACGTCAGCAAAGAAAAAGGGCACGAAGCTGAACTTATTCTAAAAGACTGCGACGGGAGCCGAACCCAGCAATGGGAATTCCACCCGATTCCTTGGAAATGAACCGCCTTTTGACGATATTTTTTACATTTTTGTACTTAATTAATAAATAATTTTATTTTGACCCGTGTATTTCTTAAACCTTTGGTCGCTAAAGCCCTCATTGGAGCAGACCAAGAAGCAAGAAGCAGAGCAAGAAGTATATTATGCAACAAGTTTGGTAACGGCATTTGAGTCATGAGTTTATTTAGCACGAGCGGAGCGAGTGTTTAATAAATGAGTCGCTTAAAAAGTTTAACAAACCACACTATACTTTTTCTACGACCGTTAGGTTTCGGGTACATTTTTGCACAACAACACGAATACCTTCCACTGACATGACTGTTGGAATTGACAAACGTTAAAATTCAAGCCGTGCGGTGAACTCTCCGAAAATATCCGATTGGTCCAAAACCCGTGCGGTAATATTCCGGAAATGTCCGAAGTGGCTCGGATCCTTGGAACAAGAAACTCACGAGATGGCCGTATTTGTCCAAATCGTATCGGGACGTTCGGGGCTTGTTCGGGGCAGCGCGGGAGGGAGGCCGGTAAAGCGATTCCGGGGAGAAAGAATTTTCTTTAATAGAGAATACATTACAATCTCTGTAAAATACATCTGATAATATTTACAGTGACTCAGTTTAAAAAATTTCTGTTGTATTTTAATTAACCGTAGAGCCATCATAAATGTGTTTGTTTAAAGATTCTCAATTATTTTAAATAAATCTTTGCGATTATATTAAAATTGTATTTAGGTGCTTTTTACTCGGAAAATTGCATACGGCGATTATCACGAATCATGAAACGTTAATAAAAACGTGTGCCCAATTGTTCTCACAGCTAAAATTATTGATGAATTTTAAATTTATTCAATAAGCAATATGATTTATCAATATCTTTATCCATTAATTAAAACACTTTGGATTATGAAAAAAATTACCCAGCTACCTAGCATACCCAAGAATCAAAAAGTAAAAGTTACCTAAGTAGTTATCAGGATAAAATGTATGAAAAAATTGAAATTGCATTAAAATTTTAGAAAAGAACAGCGCCCAATTACTTAACGATAAATATAAAATAAAAATCCCTTAGGCGCCAATGAAATACATGCCTACACCTTCATTGTAGTATTTTTAATAGAAGTTGTAAGTTTTTTTATCTTAAACAATAGCGTAAAATGTTGTTCTTTATATCATGTCCAATAACCTCTACTTTGTTTTGTAAACTGTTAATTTTATTTTGTTTGTAAGTACACTGTATAGTTGAAACCATCTACATAGATAATTAACCAAAATAAAATAATTTAACAGCATTTTATAAATTAATTTGCTATCTGAGCCGTGTTTACACTTGTATTTTAACTTCTCTCTTTATTTGGATAAATGATTCGGCCGCTTTCGGGTGTTCGTCGCCGGTGCCTCGGGTGATTTGGACAAATACACATTATAGCATTTGTGGTTTTCCCAAAATCACATGGTAAAGTGAATCTTCCCGCACGCTAGATCGGTATATAATTAGGTATATCACAGTAGTATATTATGCAACAGGTGCGGTAAACGGCATTTGACCCAAGAGTTTTTTTGGCACGAGCGGAGCGAGTGTTTAATAAACGAGAGACTTAAAAAGTTTACCGAACGTGTTGCATACTACACTTTTTCTAGGACCGTTAGTTTTTGGGTACACGGAAAATATCTGATTGCAAAAACTCATTTTCGAGAAATCTAAAATAAACTATCATAGACGAAAAAAGTTGCATACTATAAAAACACAGCATATGATGATGTTTTTCATATGTTGATAGCCATTTTTTTCATTTCGATTTGAAATTAATGCAAGTATTCATTATTGAATTGTGTAGTTTAATTAGCTGAGATTTTTCAGGCACAATTCATCTTACCAACTATATCTTTATTTCTTTGATATTCAAATTGGTTTATCATGTACAGTGTGTCGAATTTAAGATGAAGACTCCCATATTTTTTGGCTACTAAAATAAATACATATTTAAAGTTTTGCGCTGCTATAAAACCCGGCGAATCCACAAACAGAGTGAATTTTCGATATTGAGAGATATTGAAAAAAGGTATTTGGAACAGTTGTTCTGATTATTATTCTAACCTCACATACGAATTTTAGTTTTTTCATTACTTTAATAGTCTTTCTTTCTACTTCCATTAAATTCAAAATACTTTTTTGACAGATTTATATCTCTAAAGAAGGTTTGATTATGGTAAACCCATTTAGTCCTTTGTTAGCAGAGATTTTTATGGATAATTTGGAAAATATCATACTAGAACATCCTTTAAGTAAAAGTTTTTTATGGTGGTATATATACTTGGATGATGTCTTTGCTTGCTTTGTTGGAACGGACAGATAATTGAATTCTTTTTTAAATTACATTAACTCATTACATAATCGTATAAAATTCACTATCGAGATTGAACAGGTTAACTCAATAAATTTTTTAGACTTAACTATTACGAAAGCGCAAAACAAATTAGATTTTTCAATATATCATAAACCTTCACATACGGACACAGTCATACATAACAGCTCAAATCACCCTTATACACACAAAATGGCTGCATTTAACTCTTTTATGGACAGACTTCTTAATACGCCACTCTCTACAGAAAATTACAACAAACAACTTAATATCATTAAACAAATTGCACTGAACAACGGCTACAATCCGTCCATTATAGGTAAAATTATAAATAAAAAACAAATGCAGACAACAGTAAACTCTTTTATCCGAACCTAATACAGGACACGAACAATTTAAAACAATTACATACATAGGAGAACCTAGTAAAAAAGTGTCAAAACATTTGTCAAAATGTGGTTTAAAAATAGCTTTTAGAACTAACAACACAACAGGAAAATATTTAAAAAACAATAAAACGAAATGTCCAAAATCCCAAAAATCAGGTGTCTACAGGTTGAAATGTGGATCTTGTCCTGAAATTTATATTGGACAAACAGGTAGATCCTTCAAGAAACGCATTAACGAACATAAAAGGCGTTTAAAAACAATAGTCTAGATTCTAATTATGCTACACACTTAAACACAGAAAAACACATTTTTGACGACAACTTTGATATTTTACATACAGCCACAAAAAGTAGAAAATTAAATTTATTGGAAGCCATGGAGATTAACAGAATGAGACATTCAAATTAACGATCAATTTTTGATTTTGATTTATTGATTGAACTTTGATTGAATTTATTGATTGGCTTTTACTTGATGAAAATCCATTTATCAAAATAAATAAGAACTAAAAGTTCAGATTTTCATGAAATTATATATTTTGACATGACAATTGTTTCGACAACACCGTGTCTTTATCAAATGTAAACATTTGAACATTGAAAATCTGAACTTTTAGTTCTTATTTACTCCTTTATTGAACTTAAATTCTCACAACAACATTAATTAAGGTTTTATGGTCATTTTTTGATATATATAGTAGCAGGTAGTTTGTAAATATTACATTTGATAAAGACACGGTGTTGTCGAAACAATTGTCATGTCAAAATATATAATTTCGTGAAAATCTGAACTTTTAGTTCTTATTTATTTTGATAAATGGATTTTCATTAAGTAAAAGCCACCTCAGTTGAATTAAATTTTATACATTATAAATATTCTGGCACAAAGTTCATCTTGATTTCTGGGTCTTGTTTTTTAAACTTTCTTTTTTATCACTCACCAAAAAAAAATCGAGTGGTGTAACATCAGGGGATCTCGGAGGCCAGGGCTCAAAAGGACTGTTTCTTCCTATCCAGTGCATAGGAAATTATTAGGTAATCAACGGTTATGCCATATTCGTTGTATATGTCCGTACCACTTAAGTTTGAGTCTCTCCATTTCTCGTGATTTCGCTGTTTCTACATTCATTCTTCGTTTTATTTCGTTCTTTGTTATTCTTGTCCTTTAACAACTTGTCCTAAGAAAAACCATTTCTGATGCTCCCAGCTTTGCTTGTAAAAATTTCTATAGATAATTATTTAGTAGTAATTGTTTCCGTTACTTCTTTTTCCAGCAGTACTTAAAATTCATTACTCAAATGCCGTTTGCCACACTTGTTGCATAATTTACTGTTATGTATTCTTAGTTTTATCTGTTTTCCTCTTTTACTTTACCTTTCCCTCGATATTTTTACACCTAGACAGAGAGGCTTCGACTACTTGTCCATCAACATTTAAATTGTGTTTGGGAGATTCCACTGACAGATACTTGGTTTTGCTGAAAATTCTTTTTAAACCGATCTCACTATATGTCTCATATATTACTCGGCGAATTGAAGGATGTGAAGAAAACTACTATCTATATCCAGGTCCACACCAACGCATTTATATTGCTAATCTTTTAATATCTCATTCATTTATTCATATAATTTATTTTCAAAAGTGTTGAAGATAAGCAGGATATGCATAAGGAAGAGAATCATCATTCCGCAGAGTTTAATGTTCTTGAAGGTTTATCATAATTTTCATAGAAATATGGGTTGTCTTATTATTTTAAAGCTCGTGTCTCAGCGCTTCTTGTTAGTTGAAGTCTCGGTTGAAGTAGTAATTTGGTTAATTGAGATTTTTCCATGTTCAATTTCTCTGATATTCGAATATGTTTTGCCTAAAGGACATGAAAATGCAGGATGTTTATTCAAAGTTCAAGGGTCGCTTTCAAGTGCATTTTATGTTCTAGCACGTTTTGCAGTGTCAGGTTTTATTTCATTAGCCGTTATAATATTATATTTGCGCCTGAAAAGTAGTTTTATGGTTGGCCGAGGGAAGTATAATACGCATCATATTTTACATTTCAATCGGTTTCTGCAATGATGAATGCGCGGCCGTAATATGCATTGCCTGGGCGGATTTCGCGGTAATTTAACTTGACTAAAGGCCAAACGTGCCGCTTGATCGGTATCTACGTTCGTGGCGAACGAAAAAATCCGACGGGGTTCTCGGGTCTTATTATGATTATAGCTTTTGGCTACTGCATACGGTTAACGTTAAACCGCGTCGAAGAAGTGAAAGAACGGTG